ACACATCTTATGTGTGTATGTGTTTATATGTGTGTATATATATATATATATATATATATATATATATATGTATGTATGTTTATGTATGTGTGTATGGGTGTGTGTGTACGTGGAAATGTAGGTGTGTGTGTGTGTATGTGTATAACGTTTTTGTATAATGTTTATTGTTTGATAATTTATAGGCCTATTAATGCTTGCGGTACCCCAATTATATTATAACGTTTACGTAATCGTAGTGTTTAAAATTCATTTTAAAAAAATGTGTTGTACCAGAAGGTTGAACGATTTAAAATTAAAAAAACTGCATCATACAGGTGATAGTCGTACCTGCTTGCACATGTATAAGCCTATGCGTACATCAAAGTTGAAATTATCGCGCTATCGCAAGTCGAATCCTACATCAAGAAAACATTACAGTGGTTGACACAACCAGCAAAATGCAAGTTCACTTAATAGTTATCTAAATTAAACAAGCATCGCGTTTAATTTGAAGGGAAATGGTAAACTATCTTCAAGGATTTATCTCTCGTCGACGTTGTACGATCACCAACTCGCACGCCATTGCATTTGTTTACAACAAAACAAAAGGTCTCACTCGAATAAAGTAATGAGCAGTACTGGGTAAAGACAACTTGATTTCTTGCTTCGAGCAAGGTATCCATTCGTAGAAGTCTAAGAAGATAAGTCTATCTAATAGTAACGTTAAAGGGTCGGGACCAGGACATACCTCCGACTTTAGATTGACAAAGATAGAAAAATGTTAATTGTAGACACAATGTATACATAAGAGCAATTAAAACATAAAAGTGTGTAATGTATATGTAATTAATCTGTTAATTTTGAAAAAGGATAATGCATAATTTAGTAAAATAAAGGAAAAAAGAAGAATAGGAAAGCAACTCAGAGCGGCTCAAAATTGTTCCAAAAAACAGTGATAATCGCTCATTATTATATTTCACATGTTTGTAGTAAATTTTAGGCACTTATCGTCAGAGGTCAAGGTGCTGAGCCTATCACATTTTATATATACATGTCGAATCCAAGACCTTACGTCATTTCCGAAAATTTCTTTCTATAAAAATAGCAGCATAAGTTTACAGTACTACTGAAACAATTATTTACATAAATTAAAAAAATAAACATATGCCTTACCCTAATAGGAGTATAAATGTGTGTCATTGACAGCAGTGTAGGCCTATGCAGCTGCACTGTAATGTTTTTCATGAACGTTCTAACACACCATCGGGTTATCATTCAACTGTTCGTCAATCAAGACTCCTAAATATTTAGTTCTTTCAACGTCTACATTATCTATTAAAATATCAGAGGTTTTAACACTATTTGTTTTTTCTTCCTGAAATCGGATATCATTTCCCTGGTTTTTAATGTTCATGTATAAATAATTGTCATTGAACCATTTAACAAGTTGATTTTTTTCATTCATATACACTTCGTCATCATTGTGATACAAGTGTCGTGCCTGTACAGTATGCAAACTGGGAAACGGAAACATCAGCAAAATATAAACATCGGCATATATATATATATATAAGATGTGTATAAGAGACAGGATGTAGGCTTCACAAGACTTTGAGTTGGCGGTTTAGGTGACTCAGTGACATAGAGACTTAATTTATAAATACAGTAATAGGTGTATGTTACCTCTAATTGTTACCGTATACAAATGGTACTAATATACAGTATATGTTTAAATCTACAGCGGGGAAGATGTATTGGTGTGATATATTCTTTAAAATTGTTGAACAAGCAAACTTGGACGGCTCACATCGTAGAACTATTGGATCCAGTAGCGGGCCTATCCAACCTGTAGTGTATGGTGGTTATCTTTACTGGTGTGAAAGCGACGGTATATTCTATGTGAATATTGAGGATGGTATGGCACCTCAGGAACAAATCATTACTGGCGATTCAATACTTCGGCCTTTTGGACTGGCTTTAGGCGTATATGATGGTAATAATAACATGTCCTATCTTATTCTTACGAATATACACACACAACAATATATATTACATATAACATATACATATATGTGTGTATATGACAAAATATATGTATGTGTGTGTATGTGTTTATATGTGTGTATATATATATATATATATATATATATAT